TAAAGGGGGATACAGGGGTATATAGAAGTATGAGCCGTGCTTTGGGGCTACCTCAATTAGAATTATTTCCCAGATAGGCCGCCTCCAGCGCCTTCAACATCAGGGCATTGTCCCACGCTGAAATCCATACTGTCTCGAGAAATTCTCAAGTTATCCAGCCAGTGCATTCATTGAGCGGTCGGGGTGTGCAGAACCCAGCGACATGGTATCCCCTGCGTAACACACTGCATTGTATTTGAAGAAAAGGAGTCTGGCTGGCAGGACAAGGTACGCACCAAGTTGCCTAACGTCATGTGCTCTACAAGTCACTACATCCAAGGTTTGGAGTCAGACGCATCCCTGGTTCATCCTGCTTTCTCAAGTCGAAGTGCCGTAGCCATCCTTTCATTCAGGGGGTGGGATAGGCATAAAGGTCTTGGGTGACCTCAAGATAACGTTCTGGTTCAGGCTATTTCCCAAATGTTTTTTAGACGCTTTAGACATCAAGGCATTTTGTGAAAGGGATACCGTAGCATTGCAGTACCCATCTTTTTCCTACCCCACACATCACACAAGAAGGCCTATCTCAAACTGGGGTACATGTAGTGTTTCTCAATCCGCCTGCTAAGAGCCTCTTGCAGTTGGAGCCCATTTCTCGCTTCAGCGCGCCCATTTGAGAAACTTCCCTTTAGCGCTGACGTGCAAGGTCACGGGGTTGCAGTAATAATCCAGCCTGCTTGCTCGGGAAACACTTCTCCGTAAAACTCATGTACTCTGATTCGGACTGCCATTGTGGTTCGGTTAATGTGTCTGGGTCACCGGCAGCTGTGGCCCTGAACGGACCAGCATTGCGAATTAGGCATCCGAAAGCCAAGGTTTGATGGCTTGTCCTTGCAGTTCGCTTCGGAGCGATTGCGTGCGGACCCGATGTTTGGTTCGGAGTTGGCAGTCGTCAGAGGTTTAGGATTCCGGCTCGTCGGGTTCAGGTCTTGAAAACAGCCACAGAAGTAATGTAGCTTGTGGGAACTGCCAAAGCATCAGTTAGAATGAAAAGGGCTTGCAACTTTCTGGAGCCGGCGTTTTCCATGGTGTCGCACAGCAGCTGGTATCAGGGGGTGTTGTCGCAACTTAGTAGAAGGGCGGGGCTTCGTGCATAGTATGGTCCCTCAGGAGAGGGTTTGGGTTGTCAGTTGTTGCAGGCGCCTGTCGGCCAGGAGCCACGTAAAACAAGAAGCACAGCAACCTCACAAGGGAGTCATAAACGGGAGAAACCATGCTCAATTTATGGCCATGCCGAAGGTAGGACGGTGCGTTCGGATTTTCCTTGTCTAATCAAGTCTAGTTTGAAGGGTTTGCGCAACTTTGCTTAGAGGGCTTCCGTAGGCATACAGAGGCTTATCCTTGCACACTGCGAAACTCTTGGGAATGTGGAAGCAAAAACACCTTCTTGGCAGGGCTGGTGGGCAGACAATGTTGATAGGCCGCCTGACTCTGGTATGTTGCTTGACACTGGGCAGGACAGAGAAGTGGTACTGGCAGCACGAGCCCTGGAGCTTCGGAATTTCTTTTCAGAGCCAACGAGGACGTCCAGGCACCAAGCGTCAAGGTTTGGCTGCAAGCACAAGCGGGCTCTTCCAATTGGTTTTGGGATATTGGTTCACTTGTGGGTCATGGCCACAGACTGACGTTCATAACCCCTGAAGCCTCAATGGCAAGGCAGAAGTGCACGGGCCTGCATGTGTGCATGGCTATTCGTGTGTTAATGTTGGACCCTGTTTAGTGT